GAAATCATCAGTTTTTTGTTTTTTTCATAATCTCTGATACAAAACGTGACTGCATGATGGTACCTGATACACAGTGTGATACAAAACGTGATTGTATGATGGTACCTGATACAAAACGTGACTGCATGATGGTACATGATACAATACGTGACTGCATGATGGTACATGATATAATACGTGACTGTATGATGGTACCTGATACAATACGTGACTGCATGATGGTACATGATATAATACGTGACTGTATGATGGTACATGATACAAAACGTGACTGCATGATGGTACATGATACAATACGTGACTGTATGATGGTACATGATATAATACGTGACTGTATGATGGTACATGATACACAGTGTGATACAAAACTTGACTATTGTTTCCTAAGTCAACTTCAGTTAATGAGCTGTAGCTTTAGGTGTAGATGGAAATGACCACACTGTTTAGTTTGACCTCTTCTTACCAGGGGCGGATTGAATTGGCGGGCTACCGTGCAGCTCGGGGCCCAAAATATGATTGATCATGTTAGTTTAACTAGTGAATTTGTACTCAATTTCTTTCTCCTCTCAATCGGATACTGTATCGTGAAATAAGGAACTTTAGAGAATTCAAGGAAACTCAATGTTTTACTATTACAGAAAACTACGTTCTTACATCTTGCCGTTTCAACATAAAAAATAACACAAATTACGCAATTTGGAAAACTCACCACAACGAATGGCGAGGAGGTACTTGTTAATGTACTTTATATATATATATATATATAAACATGTACATTATACATGTAGAGCTAACATTACGTGTAAGTTACACTTACATCATAGAATGCCTGGGAGCGTAACCGCCTGTGCTGTTTATTAATCGGAAAAAAAAGTCGTAATAATTTTTTATTAAACCATTAATTGCTGGTTCGCCGTATAGGGTACGATCCGCCTCCGGCAGTTGAATGCGAGTATGCTATATACAGTGTACGTCTCGCAAAAATTCCGCGCGTGTTTAAAGCAGTCGCATTCAAAGGGTTGAATATGACTTTCGTATCTTGAAGTGAGCGGGAGGAGATGAGCGTCGTTCCAGTATTGACTGCGCGTCGTTTACTCGCATTCTTTAAGTTATGGTGGGTGGCGGGAAAGAGTGTAACATAGTTTAATTTGTCACGAAAATAATAGCTAGATTCTAGCTTCAGATACAAACTAAGGACAAATTCCGCCAAACCCTGAAATTAGTTGTTTTTAACAGTCTCATCTGAGATGTAATCAACTTTGATTTAGTAGTTTATTGAAGATACACTTTGATGCATTATTGAAGACCATAACACCGTACGGAAGAGACGAAAAAAGATTAGGTAATTGGATTATTTTGAAGAATTCGAAATGGGCTAATTTTAGATTGTTTGCACTGTCATCATTTAATTTGATATTGGAGTACTCACAAAAATCTTCCCCCAGTACATGTGTGTGTGTGTGTGAAACACATGCATAATTTAGAAAATATGTATAGTCTGTATGTGTTTCACAAAATGCAATGGCAAGCAATACGAAAAAAGCTTAAAATAAATTTCTATCTCAACATAAACCTGATATTAATAAAATGAGTTATGTTTTGATTAATGATTTATGAAAAGGTAACTTGTAGATTAATTGCAAGTCGCTCCCCAATTTTAGTTGGTTATTCGGAAAATGTTTATTTTTAGTACTTGCCTAATAAAGTTGTTAGGTAAGGTGGTCCAATATGACGGAGTGTTAAACAGTAATACATTCAAACGTTATCAACGATTATTGTCATTTATTAGGTAGGTATTACTTCCGATGAAATATAAACCAATCAATGTTTGAATACGTGATCAAAAGAAGTTGATAAACTTAATAAGCTTTTTTTTTAATATGCAAGTTAGTTTAAAGACTGAATTATCAGCGCTTGAACAATTAAACTTGTTAAATTACCAATTGACTTGTTAGGTTTAAAAGGCTTGCCATACAACTATTCTTTTGCAATACCAAATAGGCCTAAGAAACATCTTTATAGCTTCAATGGCGGAGCTAGGTCTTCATATGATATTATCATCTATATCTAAATAACCTTTAATTTAATTACCCTCTCGCCTCCCCCCTCCTCGAGGGTATTGCAGTCGGGTCAGTGTATGTGTGTCTGTCTGTCTATCTGTGTATATAAAACTTTTACACAAGATGGGAGGTCAGTATGGAACAGTCCTCCCCAAATCCGGATTACTTTGAAGCATTTTTTTTTTATAATGGGGAGATAGGGCATTTTCGCAGTTTTGGGTTAATAAGTCAATAAAGTGTGATCGGATTTGTACCAGATTTCATGGACACATTATGGTCGAGACTCAAACTACAAAAAATGATCCAGATCGTTGAGAATTCTGGATCTGAAAAGAATTTTCTGAGGTTTCGAAGCTGAAATTTGACGTTATCCAATACAAACGTATGCAATCTCCAAAAGGAGGTGCGGGGAGAGGGTATGCAATCTCTCTGACTGTTCTTGTTTTCTTTCAACTGATAACCACATAAAATCAGAACCCCACTTTTATGGTAACTTTGAGTGCGATGTTGCGGTATGTGACTCGGTTGCAAATCAGTGACGGATTTATCGCTAGTTGCAAAAGGCGCGCGCCAAGAGCCCTTAAACTCTAAGTCAGAAATGTTCATACACATATTTCATATTTTATGAAACATGTATATGACATATAATTATTGTTTATTTTTCATTTATTACACAAAGTAATATATATACCTTCACAACAAAGCATGTGATTTAGATTTCGTCTAAACGCAGTTCATATCACTATACCTTAACCATTTCACTTCTGATAAATGAGTTATCGTTCATTGAATCATCTTAGTATTGCCTATTTTCCATTCCCTATACCAAATTTAAGAGCACCCTTTGGGTTACTTAAAAATTAAATATATTTGAAAGAACAGAATTTTGTATTTCTACAATTTAAATAATTCACAACTTATTATTACATTTCAGTAATTCATATACAACACTAGGCTTGCCAACCTTCTAAAAATTTTGCTTGCAGATCAAAACACTTTTGTGTCCCATGAAATAAATAAATAGTCACAGAAAAAGAATGTAGTACATTGATAAGGTAAATAGATTTGTTATACTTCTAGTACGTATAGTGAAAATAAATATTTCTTACAAAAAGTAAAATGTTTAATATGGTATTTTTATATATATTTTTTCAAATATAAGTTTGTCATTATTTTTGAAATAGTTTTCTTTAAATACATGAACTGTTATCACCCTATCACTTGCATATTATTAACCTTTATATGCCTCCAATTTTTAGTACTGTATATGAATTATGAAAATTTAAATACACACACACACACACACACATCTTGCCTCCGTGTAGATGTTTTGCCCTGACGAGTGACTTTCGGTTATCTAACATCCACAATAGGAAATAA